ACCTGTAAATCAGCAATGTCTCTAGCAGGTAGACTAACATTAAAAAGTTAAGTGTGTGTCACTTTAGTGACGGATTTTGAGTGACGAAAATCCCTAATGTGCCTTAAATGTGATTTCTGAAAGGTCTGTGAGATCAAGTGCAGCCACTATGCTATCTCTAGATCTTCAGCACCTAGCAGTGAGTCTGAAATGTAGTAGGTGCCCAATAAGTGTTGTGTGGATGGATGGATAAGAGGGATAAATTTGTATCAATTGGTACTGTTAAGAAATTTGACGATTTTTCATTTTCAGCCAAAAGGGGGTAGTGTTGCAGAAATTAAAGAGTGTTGGAATCAGGGTGGATTATATTTAGCTGTGTGACCTTGCACAAGTTACTCATCCATGATAAGCTTCAGCATCCTCATCTGAGAAATAGGGAAGGGATTAAGTAATTTATATAAAATGCTCAGGGCAGAGCAAAGTGACTCCTGCTGAAAAGGATAATTGCTATTGTTCAACGAGAAATAGAGTGAATTAATTATGAAAGGGCCATGTTTTAGACAGTGTGAGCTTTAAAAGTTAAAATCTGTTTACATTTGGTGTGTTGAAAGGAGGAAGCTCTGAAAAGTTTTGTGAGCTTGAGAAAGATATAATGTTTACAATGACTGAACGAAGGACCAATTAGAAATGGAAAGCCTATGATCAGGAGGGAAAAACAACAAATGGTCATCACCTGTACCACTGACTGTCTAACTTTGGGCAAATTTCTTAACTTCTCTAGGCCTCAGTGAGACTTGTTTCTTTTTTTTTTTTAAGATTTTATTTATTTATTTGACAGAGACAGAGATAGCGAGAGCAGGAACACAAGCAGCGGGAGTGGGAGAGGGAGAAGCAGGCTTCCCCCCAGGACGGAGCCCGATGTGGGACTCGATCCCAGAACCCTGGGATCATGACCTGAGCCAAAGGCAGATGCTTAACGACTGAGCCACCCAGGCGCCCGAGACTTGTTTCTAAGACTTTATATTCTCAGAGCAGTTTTAGGTTTCTAGCAAACTTGAGGGGAAGGTACAGAGATTTCCCATACACCCTCTGCCCCCACACATGCGCAGCCTCCCCTATTATCAACTCCCCCATCAAAGTGGTACATCCATTACAATTGATGAACCTGCATTGACACATCATTACCACCTGAAGTCCACAGTTTACATTACTCTTGGTAATTATTCCACTCTTGGTGTCGTACATTCTGTGGGTTTAGACAAATATATAATGACATGTATCCAACATTACTCCACACAGAGTAGTCTCACTGCCCTAACACTCCTCTGTGCTCCACCTTGTTCATCCCTCTCCCCCAGCTTAACCCCTGTCATTCACTGATCTCTACAGTTTTGCCTTTGTCACATACTTGGAGTTATACAGTATATAGCCTTTCCAGAATGGCTTCTTTCACTTAGTAGTATGTATTTAAGTTTCCTCCATGTCTTCTTCTGTCTTGATACCTCATTTCTTTTTAGCAGTGAATAATATTCTACTGTCTGGTTGTACCAGAGTTTATCCATTCACCTATTGAAAGGCATCTTGGTTGCTTTCAAGTTTTGGCAATTATGAATAAAGCCATTATAAACATCCATGTGCATGTTTTTGTGTAGACATATTTTTTCAACTCCTTTGGGTAAATGCCGAGGAGTGGGTTTGCTGGATTACATAAGAGTGTATAGTTTTATTTAGTGATATTCTAGTATTTTGTTACAGAGTTTTATTATGATTAATGAGATAATCAATATAAATTGCCTGGCAGAGTACCTGGCATATTGTAAGGGCTGAATCAGTGTTAATTATATTTGGTGTTATTATCATCTCATAAAAGATAATATAGTAGATACAGAAGAGAGAAATGTCAGAGGAAAAGTGTAAGAACATGTGATGATTAGCTCTCAATGCAGATATCTGCAGTCTCGGATACACGGAATGTGCTTGTCTAATTCATGCTGCTCTGCATGGAAGGTATACTTTGCCTTGGGCCTTTTGGTCCCCCATACTCCCTTTGGACTAATGAAGAAGGATAATACAGGTAATTGTAAGTAATGGTTATCTAATTCTTCAGGTAAGGGGAAAAAATACAGCTAAATGCACTCCAAATCTGAATCATATAAACCTGACAAACAGCTAGGGTCAGATGAAATAGGGGAAAAGCACTACTAGACAAGTGTTCTGGAAAACTGTGTTCACAGTCTAACTCACTTTGTGTGGGTTGTGAACTTCATGAACTTGGACTTGAGGCTTAGTATTTCAGTTTCCTCGCTGTCAAATCAGAATGAGACTCCCCCACTGGCTATTTAGAGAGCAAGATGAGATAAGGAACATCAGAGTTCTGCTTGAAATTTTCTAGGAAGTTAAGAAATTTAAAATTAATCTTAATACATGGAGACACCAAATAGCTTGCTCAGATTCAGTTCCACGATAATAAATAAAAAATCCAAAGTCATCTAGCACCAATAACATCATGACCAATTTCTGTGCTTGGTTTTGAATATATGATTGCTTCTATGCACTTACAGATTTGTATTTTCTCTGTTTTCTAAGCATAAAAAGCATATTTCTCCATTGTAGAGAGTTTTGATTATTAAAAATACATAGGAGGAAGCAAAATCAAACCAAACCAAACCAAACCAAAGCTCACCTATTATTTTACCACCTGGAAATACCTCATGTTAAAATTCAGAAACATTTCCTTCTGACATTTTATCTTTCTGTAGATAGTAAGCTAAATCTCTAGAAAGGTAGACCTAGATTTAAGTTTTTTAAAAGTAGTCTGATGTTAAATATAGATTTGATTTATATTTTGTCTAATAATCTTCGTAAGGATAAGATTACATCTAAATGCCTATATGTTAACAATATATAATGTAGCATCATCACTTTCTTTTCTCCATCAAAATTATGCTGTTTTTATAAAGTTTT